ACATGTGCTTTACACAATGGATGTCTGTATGGATTGTGATCAGAGTTGTACAAGCCCCCAATAAATTGATTTTAAAAAAATGAAAGAAGCAGGACAATGAAGACTGAAGCACAGCTGGTGGCTGTAACTTACAGTACTGATTAGGACCCTTGAGTACACCATGCACTGCCAGGGAATGAGCAAATCTGTCTTAGCAGAAATACACTCGGATTGTTCCTTAGGAGCAAGGCTAGCAGGCCTTGAGCCACATACTTTGGATGTGCTAGAACCAAAAACCAAACAAACAAACAAAACTCAGTCCCGTTCAGTTGACTCCAATACATAGTGACTCCAGAGGACAGGGTAGAACTGCCCTGTGGGGTTGCAAGACTGTCACTCTTTACAGGAGTAGAAAGCCTTGTCTTGCTGGTGGTTTTAGTGGGTTGCATGTTGGACTGTTACCTCTAAGATCAGCAGTTTAACCCCCCGGATGCTCCATGCAAAAAAGATGAGCATTTCTATCCGTATGAGGGTTTACCGTCTTGGACATCCACAGAGTCAGTTCTACCCTGCCCTGCAGGGTTTCTACGAGTCAGAAGTGCCGTGATGGCCATGAGTTTAACCAATCACACAAACCCACATACCTAGTGTTGACCAATCACAGCAAAACCCTGCTTTTGTAAACCTGTCTTTGACTTTGATGAATCACTCATAAGCCAATTCAAATATCTTGTTGCTAGTTCCAGATTTAACAACATAACTATTGTCTGTCTTGAACATTATGCCCTTTAAGAATTATCTAGATGGGGTCAAATTGACAACAGAAACTCCAAAGGTTAGAGACGAAATGTAGGGGGCAGTAAGTTTATATCAATGGGAGAGGAACGACTCGGAAAAGCAGGGTCAAACTCAATGAATGTGACCAATGTTACTGAGTTCATTGCACATGTAGAAACTTGAATTGGTGTGTGTTTTGCTGTGTATATTCTTAACAACAAAGGAAATAAAATTACTTTCAAGATTGAAAAAAGAACGTTCCTTAGAACAACCAGACATGGGGTGTTCGTTCGCATACCCATGAGGCACCTCGAAGTCTTGTCCATTCTGCTGGTCCTGAGAGCACTAGGGAGCTGCGGAAACTCCGTGGGGGAATTCTATGATCCTTCCCCTCCAGTGTTCCACCAAGCCCATGGTACCTTTTCACCCCCCCACACCGCTCACGCACATGGACACCATGGCTCAGGGGGGGTCAGGGCGCCTGCCCATAGCCCCAAAGCCTGTCAGGGGTAGAGGTGGATTGCCCAACCAGCCCTCTCTCTTGCTGCACCCTGCCCCAGCTCCCTTCCTCACACTCTCCTGACTCCTCTGGTCACCGACACATTTTACACACCATATTCATGCTGCACCCTGATGAGGCCAAAGTCCTACAGCAGTTCAGTCGCTTGAGAAATCTGTCCGGAGCCTGTGTGCCCTGGGAGAGGCACTGGGATGGAGCTGCCTGAGGAGACTTCTGGCATCCTTGGCCCGGGCACTCTCCAGTTCAAGCCTCCCTCCGGCTCCCACTGCCCACACTTCTCCTCCTCTTCCCAGCGGTCTGAATCCACCAGCTCCGCACAGGAGAGAGAGGAGGTGTCTGTTTCTGCATAGGTGACAGCAAAGAATCCCACCGGGGCAGCTTTTCCCTGTCCTGCAGGGAAGCTATGAGTCCCCCCCAAAACAAACTCACTGTCATTAAAGCGACCTCCCAGTGGGTTTCTGAGACTGTAACTGTTCATGGGAGTAGAAAGCCCCTTCTTTCTCCCGTGTGGCTGGTGGTTTCAAACTGCTGAGCCTGCGGACGGCAGCCTAGTGAGCACCCACCACACCACCAGGCTGCAGCTATGAGTCAGCTCGCAGTCCTCTCAGCCCACATCCTCCATTGTCCTTGCTCTGTTCATTTGCATCGGCGGCCTCCCATCCCAAATGCCTCCCCTGCCTCCATCAGGTGCAAATGCTCTCCATCCCAGAAGACCACGCCTGTGAGAAGCAGTGGTCCGGCAGTCCGTTTCCGCTTCTCGGGGCCCCTTAAGCTCTGTTACCCCCAGCCAAGGGCGGTGCTGGTCCTATTTTCTTTACCAATTGAAAGAGGAGAATGATGTTGCCCTGGGCTGGGGAGGGGACCTGACGATGTCCAGGCCAGCCCTCTCCCCAGGTGTCTGCCAGCCTCCCTGGCCCTTGTGGATGTTATGCCCGGCACCCTTTCTCCCTGGGCGGGCAGCCTCGAGCCACGGTGGGGGTGGGGGTTGGTGAGAAGGATGTGTGTGAAGTGAGGCCCTGTCTTATTCCAGTCCCTGATTCACTGCCACGCCAGGGTCCGGGGACAATCTGCCGGTGGTAGTTGCTGTGGAATCGGCTGCGATTCCACAGAACAGCATGTCCTGCTCCATCTGCAGGTGGTTCGAGGCCATTGTGCCCGTCCATCGCCTCGTGGAGCGTCTCCTTGCTTTATTGGGTGGCCTTATCAAACGTGATGGTCTCTTCTAGCAAGTGGCCCACCAGAGCGACACATCCACTATCTAGGAAGGACGGCTTTCCTGCGCCCAAGTCCCACCCCCTCCCTGTCTCTTCCCTGCTCTTAAAAATTGTTGGACGTGGGCATGTTGGAGGGTGGTGTTAAAGAGGACGCATATCCATCCAGGGTGCAGGAGAGCGAGGATGAAACCTATAACTATGCTTGAGTCTTTAAACGTTCCTCCTCCCACTATTAGGACCTTAGTTTTACATCACTGATCTCGCTAGACCTGCATATGTACATTGGTACTATTAAGATCTTTCAGTGCACAAAATCCCTCAGAAACAGACACCGAAATGGGAGTAATGATTCCCTGAGAGGACGGAAAGACAGGGGGAGCAGGGGGGAAAGGAGAACTGAGAGCAACGATGACTGTATAACCCCACTCCAGGGAACGAACACCCGAATTTTAGGTGAATGGATTCATTGGATCATGTAAGGTATGGCAAATATATATATATATAGGGTTCAGGGGCTGATAGGATGGGGAAGGGAGGGGATAAAAGGCAACTGATATCAAGGAATTCAAGAAAAAAGAAAATGGTTTGTGAATGATGAGGGCAACAATTGTACAACTACGCCTGATCTACTGGAACTATGGATTGTAACAATATCTGTAAGAGCTCCCAATGAAACGTTAAGAACAAAAAACCAAAGACACAGAGGTGAATTGTTAGCCCCCATCCCTTGCCCTCGTGCCTGAGACTCGCAGAGCCCTAGGAATCCCTCACTAGCCCCCGCCTGCCCTCGGGCCTGCTCTGAACAACTTACGGCTCCCACACCTCTTCTTAGAATTCAAATCCAGGGAGTGGAGACCCCAAGCCTGCCCAGGACCTCCAGGAGGGCAGGAGAGAGAGGTGCCCCCTCTCTCCTGCAGGCCCCAGGGGGTGGGCTCATTCACCACAGCCCCCACCCCTCCAGTTGACCACCCACTTTCACTTCTGCTTCCTCATCTGCCTGGAGACTGCTTCCTCCTGGCAGGAGTGGTTATTTCATGACAAGCCTGGGGCTGGCTCCACGATGGGGACACACTGGGCAGACTGAACCTGGCCAGGGAGCCAGGGAGAGCCTCAAATGCCTGTCCCCAAGCTGCTCCATCCAGAAGACGTGTCATAGAGTCAAACAGCCCTGGCTTCTGATTCCAGTTCATTGACTTTCTGTCTGGCTTCCTTTTCCCCTCTCTGGACCTCAGTTTCCATGAGAAGGACTTCAGAGCCCACACCTAGCGACCAGTTTCCACCAGGACCGAGTTCCAGCTCAGCCAGCCCCTCTCGCAGCTGAGAACATGTGTCAGGGCCCGGGAAGCCGTCAGAACAGGGTCAGGCCTGGGCTTCATCCTGGCCTGGCACTTCCCAGCCCTGGCCAAGGTGGCCCTGGAGAGGAGCGTGTCCCCGGGCCCACGGCTCAGGGCTCCCCAGGTCATTCTTGCCTGTTATTGTCCCCGTTCGACAGATGAGGACATCCAGGACATCACAGAGCCGGGATCGAATCCCAGCAGGTAGAGTCAGAGAGGCCTGACGCTTTCTCTCCAAGGTCAGTCACCTGTCCTCACTCCCCTTCCTAGAAAGAGGCCAAGGGCAGGTGACTCCCCACCTCCTGCCTGTCCTGTGAAGGACCCTCCACCCTCACTACAGGTTGCCCCGTGTCTCCAAGGAGAACCGTTTTCAAGGACTAGTTTTCCGGAAGCAGTTCACCAGATCTCTCTTCCGAGGCACCTCTGAACGGACTCCAACCTCCAGCTGGAGTTAACAGCTGGACTCATTAACCACTTGTGCCCCCCCAGGGACTCCGACGAATCCGTAGTGGGTCCACATCACCCACGGAAGTAAAGGGAGAGGGCTCATTGGAACCCCACGAGGTGGTAGGTCTTCCTATCCCGTGTGGCAGAGGAAACCAACCGAGGCCCACCACTCAGCCTGGGACTCCCTCAGGTCCACCCCAGCGCCAGCTGGGGCCCCGCTCCCTCCGCCCAGCTGCGAGAGGACTGTTAAAGAAACCAAAGCTCATCTTGGCCCCCACACATCCACACTACCCCAGCCAGGAGCCCCCACACCAGGCCCACCCAGTTACCTGTGTGGTCCCTACCTGAGCACCGGAAGGGGCCGCCGGGTGGCGGGCGCAAATGGGCACCAACTGGCCCTCGCAGCAATAGAACTGCGGGCAGACTTTGGCACCATCTCCGCCTCCCCTGAGCAATCATTAACCCTGCCACAGACCACACCTCTGGGCTAGCCCACTTCGTAGAGACTGGGTCACACCTGGCTAGGGAACAAGAGGGCGGACCCATGCAAGGGGTCCCTGTGAGCCTACACCACCGACCCCGCCTGGGCAGCCATGCATGGGGAATCCACGGGAGAAGGTGGATTCGGTCAGAAGAGGGAAAGCCGTGTAGGGCAGGGTGGCGATCACGAACAGTTGGACAGCGAGGCTGCCCTCACAGCAGTCCACAGGTGGAGGCCTAAAACACCAGAGAGATGTCTCACAGTTCTGGCGACCAGAAGTCTGGATTCTGAGTGTTGGCAAAGCCATACTCTTTCCGGATGTCCTAGGTAAAGGTTATTCCTTGTCTCAGCTAGCTCACTGCGGGTTCCAGCATCCCTTGGTTTATGGTAGCATCCCTCCAATCTCTGCTTCTCTTTATCGCATCTTCTCTTTGTCTCTTCTCTTTTATAAGGACGCTACTCGGATGGGATTAAGACACTCCCCACTACCCCAGAATGACCTCAAATAACTGAATATATCTTCCTAGTGCCTACCTATTTCCAAACAAGCTCATGTTCACAGGGGTTGGGGTTAAGACGTCAGCATCTCCGTGAAGCTTACACTGGATCGTGCCTGACTCGGGGTATGTTTGTGCCCATTGCTGCTGACCTTCCCCTGTGATGAGATTTCAAGGGCCCCTGCCCTCCGCCAGGGCCTCCATCAACCCCACGTTGGCTTCCAACAAGGCCTCAGCGCTTTCTTTGCAGGGACCAAAGCTGCTTCTCAGGAGAAAGAGGGTCCTGGGGCAAGACCACAGACCTCCAGTTGCCTCCTCCTCGCTGAGTGGCCTGCAAGTCAGCGCCCCACGCTGCCCCTTGCTGCCTGTGTCTGGACCATGGGCCCCTGTGCAGGTGGACAGGGAGGCACCCAGCCCAGGACAAACACTCAGAGAAGGCAGCCCAGCCCAAAGAGACCATAAAATGCAAATGTGTTCTCCCTCCTCTCCATCCCACCCCCACCCAAGCTCCAGGGAAGTCCTAGGGGAGGGTGTACGTGTGCTCCCCAAGAGGAGTAGGCACCAGCATCTATTAAGCACCTACTGTCTGCTTTACCTCACGTTCTCCTGAATTCCCCCATCACCTGGGAGGGTTTGGTGCCATTATAATCGTCCCCTGAGTGGGGACGTACAGCCCAGAGTGGGGAAGTAACCTCATGTGGGAAGGACAGGGGAGTGCGCGGCCTCAATTCACCTCACCTCTCCCCTGGCCAGGAGCGTCCTCCACTTCCTTGCCAGTCCTCCTGCCCCCACCCCACTCTGACCTGGATACCTGCTATCCCAGCTCCTCCCACTCCTCTGCTAACTCCACCCCTTTCCCAGTGGAGAACCGCCCCACCACCCCTGCCTATACCCTATTATGGGCTTGCCACCAAGGTTCGCCAGTCGGACCAGAGCTTCCTCTTGACTAGAGTGATTGCGTCGAAGTTAGGCCGATAAAACCCCGATGGCGCTCAAATAAAGGCTGCTGGAACTGCGAGGGCAGACAGGGTAATCTTCCCTGCTGAGCTTTTCAAGTGACTCTGGGCTCCACTGAGTGAGAACTCATCTAAAACGGAGTCACCAGGGGTAACAAATGGAAACATACATTCCTGAAGATTTGGGGTTCTGGATACAGCCATGCCTAAAGTCATCCATCCCAGTCATTGAACGAATACACTGCCTTCTCTGCTGGACCTGGTTGGGTTCATTTCTGCCTGGCCATAACCACCCTGGCGCATGGAAGGGTCACAGACAGTTGAGGCGAGAGAGACTGGAGTTGGAACTTGACCACGGGCCAGCAATGAAGCCCATGAGTGAGTCCTTGAGCATCACTGCGATATGCTATCAGGCAGTTTCATTTGTAACTTGAGACAAGAATACCATCTATTTCACAGCATAAGCATGAGGTCACTGAGGACGAATGGAGCACAGAAACAGCAGTGTCCACGGTCTGGGGTCAGAAGAAGCAGTTGGTACCTGGCTACCACTGTCAACTGCCTGAAAAGATATTAATGTGTAATATCTTACACATTAGAAGGTCCTGGATAAAGTGGAAATATGGAACAAAGCTCAAAATCATAATAAAAAATGATCCGGCTTACCAAACAATGGAATTGTATGTGAATGGATATATTGGATGTGTAAGATATGGCAATAAAAAAATAAATAAATACGGGTTCCTGGGCATAGGGTGTGGGAGGGAGTGGATAAAGGGGAGCTGATATCAAGGAGTTCAAGAAAAAAGAAAATGTTTTGAAACGGATTGTGGTCGTAATGGAACAACACTGCTAGATGTGATTGAACTATGGAATGTTTTATCTTAAGAGCTCCCAATAAAATGATTTAAGTAAATAAATAAAAAGAGAAGAAAAGGATCAGGCTTACTCATTGGAAAGCACCCCAAGACTAACCGTGGCCCTTGGTCACTCTACAGGTCTGGAACTGAGCCCCGACCACAGCTAAGCTTCCCACCAAACAGTAGACAGCGATGTAAGATGAAGAATAATCCCAGAGGGAAGCACACGTCGGAATGACCAAGCATTTGAGATCCAAAGGGCAGCATTCACCGAGGACAAAGTTCAGAAGGGTTAGGGGAAAGGAGGAATGAAAACAGGAAACACAAGGAGGAATTGGAATAAGTGACTTTATATGGTAGGAATTATAATCAATAAGGTGGAACAAAGTATGTTTGAATTGTTGAATGTAAAACTGATGATCTAGTCTGTAAACTTCACCTAATTCATAATTAAAAACAAAACTTTCTGTAACAAACAAAAGGCATCTAAAGAAAGCCAAAGGCCAGACTTTTGATTTGGAGGGAAAAAA